TCTAAATGTATTTTTACTGTCTAAATATATGTATTCAGCTAGTGTAAACATGCACGATGCTCTCACAGCGAACGCGAGGCTGAGACTGAAGTGTTACCCTTTGTTTCCGCTGAGAGATATGCCGTGTGACTCATTTCCCTGCGCGTACAAGTTATCTTAGGTCGGCGTTCACGGTTTGACTTCTGAGATTCAGATCAAGTTCTAGGTAATTTTCTTTCGAACTGGTTGGTTTACACATACACACATATACAGTACTGTGCAAAAGTCTTAGGCAGGCAAAGAAAATGATGTATAAATTATCCTCATGTTGGTGTAAAACTATGATATTATGCCTGTCAAAGTGTGTCAGCTTAGCCATTTCAGAACCTCTGCTAAAATCATCCCAGTATTTGCAGCGGCCGTCCAGTGCAGCCATGTATTTTTTGACTTGGCCACTAGCACACCTCATACAGCTAGTCAATCTGTCACTGACTTTTCAAACCAATTTATTTAATTATTTAATTCAGCTGTTGGTGAAATTTAACAAAATCATGGAACGGCTGAGGTGCCCCTTAGGAGAAGTTTGGGAACTGAAGCGGTGTTCATCTAGCCATCCAACTAGATATCAGTAACTTTTTAGAAAACAGAAGAAATTATTACTAGTTTTTATTGTGTTACTCTTAATTTGCACATGTTCTAATGTTAAATTGTGTTTTTTGTTCTAAGCCAAAGTACACTTGCTACCCAGATAAACAGCTTTAAACATTTCTTTGGACTGCCTAAGACTTTTGCACAGTACTGTACATACATACATACATACATACATACTCATATAATATAGGCTATATGACTGTATTAGTACTGTAGTTTCTTCTATTGATTTTTGGTTATTCACCTCCAAATAAACCTCTTTGTTCTTATAGTTTGTTTCCTTGTTCAGTTGAAGGTACTTGGCAGAGAGAAAATTATTCAAATTTGCATTGTGAGGATTATCCTGTCAGTTACCGGATCTTAAAAGTACCTTTATATAGTATTTGTTGTTGATTGTTGCTGTTATTGGTTTTTCCCCAAGACTTAATTTAAATTGAATGCTAGAAGTTGTTTCTCTATTTCATATATTGCAAAGAAAGGTTGTTGGGAATGTTTTGCTTGTTGTAAAGCAAAGGGCTGATGCTTTTTGTTTTACTTTTGCTTTAAACTATAACATTTTGAAAAAGTCAAATATGATCTCACTGGAACACACGTAAAGCGCGATTCCAAAATTCAATTTTCTTTGGCATTTTGAAAAATCATTTTGTAGCAGTCAAATATCTAATCAAAGTACAACAGCTGCCAATATAGGTCTGTGAAAGGAGTGAGGTTTATGCAGAGTGCGCCCGTGTGCATGTCTCTCGGAACTCAATTATCAAACTTTAAACATTAAAGGATGCAGACTTTTTCCCTCCAAGGGATACAGTCTACATTTCCAGTGTAAAATTCTGTTTACATGCATAGACAAATTCTGCGTCCATGTTTTCCAGAACAAGCCATAAGTGTGGTGCACAATTAAACCTGGTTCAGGTTTCTCTCCAGATTAATGTCCGAATCAAAATTCATAAAGAATCGGGAAGACGTGAAGCCTGAGCTGGAGGATTCGTGGGGATTTTCGGTGAAGCCCATTTAATCAGGATAACACAGTTATTAATATTCATAAAGTCAGCTGGAATACAAATGACAGGCTGTGGAATCTTGAAACTTTCACTGCACAAATTTATTAAATGCAGCTTAAAAAATTAATGGAATTTGATTTATATTACAGGGAAATGAAAACCCAGTATTGGCTGACTGAAATTAGACCGGGACATTTCTTTTTGAAGAGTTTCGTCTTTGACAGACTTCAAAGGCGTTTTCGATGAATGCAATGCATGAATGGTCATTTAAAAGGATTTGAAGACATTACACTGCAGTAATTGTACATGAATAGTAAGTAGTCTACAGAGGCAATTAGCTCAAAGTCTACAAGGCTGGAATATGAAAATCTCAGAAAGACTGTAAAGGACAAAGAAAAGTGAAGAAAGTTTGAGAAGAGGGGGATTAAGTGGTTTCAGTTGGCAAAATGCGGCCTTCGTTTAATATGTACCGCATTCGCCTAGATGCCAACAATAAATAAATTCTCAGAATCTAACCACGATGCTTGTTTATCTCTGCTAATAAAATGGTAGCTGGTTTGTTGCTGGTTGCACATGTAAAATATCGAAATAAAAATACACCACCCTGCCAGTTAAGGCACTGTAAGAAGCACATGTCTGAGTCATGCCTGCCATCCCATAAACACTGCTGTTAGGGCAACGGCACTTTCCCTCTGGCGGTTGAACAGTACATATATTAGGCCCATTGGTAAGCTGCGTTGCATCAGTAAATCACCTTTGTATGGAATAATATGACTCCACTCCCCAAAAAGGATACTGTAACTGATTTTGAAAAAGTGTTTTCCTTCCTGCTTCTCTTTCGTTGTTTTCTGTGGAAAATTCAACCTGAAGGCGCACAGAGACACATACACAGCCACTCATTTTGCATTCAGTAGGCTTGTCTGACATGGGGGAGCACAGCCTTTTCCGCCCCACCCTGCTCCTCACGGCCCTTTGTTGGCCTTGCTGGCCTCTGATAGCTGCCTTATTGTCACCAGTTTCTATAGTGCTGATGAACCCCCTGCGAGGTAGGCCGGCCGTTTTTTAGCCAGATAAATTTGGCTCCAAGTTAAGAGAGAAGCCCCCCCCCCCTCCGCACACACACACACACACACCCGTTTTTTAGCCAGATAAATTTGGCTCCAAGTTAAGAGAGAAGCCCCCCCCCCCTCCACACACACACATACACACAACCGAAGTGTCTCTCATGCTACAGAGCAAACGGTACTTTCTTTTTCCCAGTTGTTTTTATCCATTTTTTTAAAGTCAGGTTGATCTGAATGACTGCAAATGTGCCAAAAGGTGTGGGTGTTTGCTCATATCACTTATTTTTCAAATTTCATTAAATAGACAACTTTATTAATTCAAACATTAATATTACAATATTGGAAATACAGAAATGTAATTTTGTTAATCTTGTGTCTTGCATTTACACAAGTTACGCAACTGCAGTTGATGAACAAGGCAAATCTTTGTGGTTGTGGTACTTTTTTGCTGTTTGGGCAGATGCCTTTTGTATGCGTTTGTTCTGGTATTTTCTGATTTGTTCCTTAAGTGTATTTCTTGTTTTTATTTTTCACTGAGGGAAATATTTCCTCAGATCCATGTCTCCTGGCTAAGAGTTGCACCTCCCCAAATCCTGCCCAGAAAGACAAGTTTCAGCGCGGAGTGTATCACTGGGATTAATGGAGTCCTGGGGCTCCTCACACAAAAAGCCAGTTGTCCGTTCGCGCCTCGCTGTGCCCCGGCTGAATGGTGTGTGAGCGATGTGCACTGGTTTACAACGCGGGGATAACGTTCTACTGGCATCTGCCCCAGGGGTCACTCCCCCCAAACCCCCCAACCCTAAAGTACGCACGTGCATATCCAGCCCTGGACTTTCCTGATATCAGGATACATTTTCTCTGTATAAACTTCCACATTTGAAATGGGGGGCAGAAGTCGGCCTCAGAGCCTGAGCCTTAAGCCCCCTCGGTGCAGAGCTCCTTCAGTCAGTGAGTGGCTGAAGTCCTCCGTTATTTGCCCTGTCCTCCTTAACTAATGGTCCGTGCTTTGCACCGGTTGCCATATGTGTTACGATTGCCCTGATCTCCACTTCGTCCGCAAATGTGGTCTACAGCTTTCCACTTGTTGACCAATAGACAATAGATAATTTTGCCCTATTGACCAAAGGACTATGATTTTTGCCCCCTTGCTGACCAATGGGCTGTAATTTTGCCCTCTTGCTTACCAATGGACTGAAATTTTGCCCCCTTGCTGACCAATGGACTGAAATGTCCCCCCCTTGCTGACCAATGGACTATAATTGTACCCTGTTTCCCATGTAATGGAGTATAATGTCACCATTCTGCTCGGGTAAGAGCAGTAAGAAATGACATGCTGCCATTGCTGGTTTGCGGTTGGCAGAATTTTCATAAAAGGATGTCACTGTTTATTTTGGCAGGCATCCTTAAGGATTTCCTTCCTCCTAGGTATAACTTCCTGTTTGATTTGCATAATTATAATTTGCGCGGGCCGTTTGGTGACATGGAAACTCTTTGCGCCAGTCCGTTGTTTGTTGAGGTCAAGACTTTTAATGTTAAAACATTGAGTCATTTGCTGATTCTTTATCTCTGGTATTATAACAAGCAGTGTCTCGTCCTTCACCATGTATCAGTAATGCTTGATATTCATTAATATGTCATCTTTACTTATCTTACTGCATTTACTGCATTTCCCACCTTGGAAGGATGGTTTCTGCATCATGTTGAGTGTCTTTCTGGTGTCACCACTAGAGGCCACACCACTCCTATTGCATACGTCTGAGGAAGCAACAGGCGCTTCTCCAAATGACAATGTTTCTTCTAATTGCTCCCAGTCTATTTGTTGCTTGCTGACGAATTAACTTGCATTTATGGAACTAAATCGCCCTCTTTCATTTAATTACACCTGAGGAGCTGAACTTTAATTGGTTGCTCCAAACAGGAATCTGATATGGCTTGAGCGGTATTAAATGACTGTTTACCTTCCTGGTGGCTAAAAGCATTTAAATGGTTGCGCTACGGGATTATGTTTTGTTAATTGCCGGCATACATTAACTTGGTAAGTGATGAGATAGCTGTATGGTACACTGTAGAGGAGATAAAATTATGTCTTAAATCACAATTTCACCCTGCAAATTAAGGCTGCCAGTCTTGTTTTGCTATACTCCAGAGGTTATTAAAGATCGCTTTCATCCACCACCACCCCCCAACCACAAGAACATATTGACAGGCTATAATTAATACTAACCTTCTTAAAGCTAATATAGAGTGGCTGCTACCTATGAAGAGCATTTTTCTTTTTAAATTAATCATAACCCCTATATATTTCCAGCTAATCCCCAAGTCAATGTGGAACTGAAACAAAGACTGCCTTCCCCGATAAGACCCCATTGCTCAGACACCACAGCACCACTCAGGTAAAGACCCCATATGTTACCCCCCCCCCCCCCCTTTCAGAGATGTTCACCTGGAAATGAATATTTCTGATCTTTTTTTAATTGTTTTTGCTGTAAATTCTTAGCAATGACATTGACTAAAATACAGATAGATTTGAACAAAAGGGCTTTTTAAAGGAAAAATTAAGTCCAAGCCAAAACAGATCCAAAATAATATCGCTGAAATGATAGTCATGTTACTTATGGCTTGGCGGTTCAGTCATTTTTGAGCTGTGCTTTAGGTTGTGTTAATATCACACTGCATAGACTTTGTTACCCAGACAACGAACACGCCTCCTGATGAATTTGTCAAAGTGATCTCTCATAGAAAATATGTAAAAGGAAGGTTTTTATTTTTGTGTAGCTGATATCCTGGTGATTTTATCAATCATGTGTGTCTGCAGGATTTTGACGGAAATTATTACCATTTTTAAGCAAATTTTTAAAGTCAGTTTTTGAAGTAGCGTTAAATCAGTTCATAATTTCTGAATAATGTTCTTATGTTGTAATATTATTTTATATAAGGCTTAATTGATTTTTTTTTTTGTTAACTAACTAAACAGCTGAAGCCCCACAGTAGCTGGCCATTATTGATGGAAATGTATCAGCCACAGGAAGGCATGCGCATCATGTTCATTTATGAACAAATACATGGTTGAATGTATTATTCTTATGAAATGAATGTGATATTTTTTTCCTCTATTACATATTTCTAATTATTAATTTAATACAAAATGGTACAAATAATTTTTAAGATAAAATAATGATGTTACACATAGTTATCGATGTTATTTCTATAGTAAAATATTCAGCATTTTTTGTCCTGCAGCAAACCCTGATTTAATAATGTGTATGAAATAGCACTGGATGGGGGTGAGTAAATGGCAGGTTGGGCTGCCGTTGGTCAGCGGCCTCGCGTGTGTTTTCACGGCTCATGTTGCCCCTCTGCTTCTCCCCCCCCCAGGACCCCCACACCGAAAGCCAGCTTGGGCACCCTCTCCGCCACAGCCTCAGCAGATCCAGGCAGAGGTAGGGGCTCGGGTGCTGCCCCCCCCCCCCCCCACCCCACCCCACCCCCGTCATGTTGGTCACGTCGCCCCCTCTCTTTTTGCTCAAGCATACATTAAATACGGCAACTCAAAAGATGAGACACAGCTGTCTTTTGCTAAATATTTCCTTTGGCACCTTCGTTGATTTAAGATAGATTTGCCTAAATACAAACACTTTACCAAACACTTAGAAGAGGCTGTGAAATTTTATAGAATGGTGAATTCTCCATCGGAAATGAAGTTCCTTCGACAGGCACTTTGTCTGCATTGCCTTTTCCCCAGCTAGCATGCTGGTTTGTGTTCGCCCGTGGATGTATCACGCCTTCTGGCATCTCGTCACCCTCTGGTTAAAAACTTGGATGCCCGGTTGGTTGAAGGTATCAAGAAAAAAGAGTCTGAACTGTTTACCCTGCCACTGTTGTACAATCACTGTTCAGCGCGATACATAAACATTTATTTACATGTGTAAATCACCTTTGGTCGGTGTGTTATCCTGCCATACTATAACTTTACCTAGACTGTAATGATATGGCAGAGTTCGTATTTAGATAAACTGCTTGGAATGACAATGAGAGATAAACAGAATATTTACCCACCCTCCACCAAGCGTCGCTGATATGTAAATTTATTCTGCTCCTCTGCACAAATATACATTTTGGCTGTTGCTTAAACACTTGAAGCCCTGCTACCCAAACAGTTTTTAATGACGTCTGCCCGCTTATTAATGGGTGACATTTGAAGGGAGCGGTGGCAGGCCATCGGGCCGGCCTCGCCGACTGGGGGGGAGGCGGCGCCCTCACTGAGAAATCTCTCCTCTCTCTGCTCCCGCTTTTCAGGCTCTCTTCGGCCGCCTACCCATTCAGGTGACTCTGTTTGGGCTTGAGAAGGGGGATGTCCCAGGCCGGCCTTTCCCATAGGAAATCGGGCATGCACTGTCTGATGAAATCGCGGCCTCTGCATTTGTTAGGGAAATCCCGGCCTAAACGCACACATACTGGGGGGCAGTTAGCTTTGTGAAGGGCTAGTCTAAAAATTAAAGTAGTAACCCAGGTTTAGGAACAATGTATCGAAAAGGTCCCATATTTGCTATACGACAAAGGGGCTGTATAAGTGTGTTTGGTGTTATTATTCATGGTTGAATTTGGTGTTTGCACTGGTGAGCCTTACAGGGAATACTAATAACTGTCTGCAACAATCCGGAGAGGAGGACCCTAGCAACAAAGCTACGAGGCAGCCCTCCCTGCTCTCCAGTTCAAAACCTGACCTTTCACGAAATCATTGTCGGCGCTAAGCCGAGAGCTTTTGGACGTGGCGGCGGGCATCGCTGCAGACCCCGGCGTCACATTGCATTTATTAACGCAAATAGCTCCCCGCGTTTTTAAAAAGCTGTTTGATGCGGCGATGCTCGTAATCGGTGCTTGAATTCGACGTCATTTGAATTGCATTGATGTGTAAGCTATTCATCTGCATTCCTTTTTCAATTTTAGTTCCTCACTCTTCCTTTTTCTTAATGTACATTTTACAATCGCAGGAAATCTGGCAAATTTTCCATGTGCCTCCTGAACCAGGGGAATCCACTGCTACGTATCTCATTTATCTGATATCAATTGCAAATGGAAGGCATGCAGAAAACAGAGGAGGGCTTTAATCATCTGTCCTGCTGGAATAATGCGCGTGGGATTAGGCCGGGTCATCGAGGTTTCCGTGCGCCCATGTCTACGGGCGAGACGCTCAAACTCAAAGTGTATTATTTTACTGTGTAGGGCCTGCAAATGGCCTGTTTTATTGGACTAAAGCGACGAGGTGGGAAGCCAAAAATGTGTCCAGTCCAAGCAAGGGGGCTTGTGGAGAGCCCAGGAAGCATGCCAAGGAGACAGCCCTGATTGTCTGGCCCACGCCTGGCCGCTCTCTGGCCCAGCTCTCTGCAGAAACATTGACAGAGGAGGTTTGTTTTTCCTCCCCTCAGCCAATTGAAGGTCCGCATTCCGCCCCAAAAAAGACATCCAGTTTACTCTTCCAGCCTAAAAACAGACGTTTGACGTGACAGTATTTCACTCGCCTTTTACTCGAGATAAAATTGCTCAATTTACAGAGACAAATGCAGCATTTTACTTTGTACACATTCCTTTCAGTTTTTAAATTTTTTTTGTTGAATCTACTTTTCATGCTAATACCATCAAGATGCCTTCCAACTATTAAATTAACTGAATTAAAATAAAAGTATTAAGAGTTTTGACTGAATTTGAATTGATTCATTTACAAAGAATTTCAAATGAAACTTGACTGTTGTGACAGATTATATATATATATATATTATGTATGATGGGAAAAAGGAAAACAGGCTGTTAACTGGGCGATGGGCCTTCATTGCAGGGTCAAAGGTCACTGAGCTGCTGCCCAGGTCCAAGAAAGAACCAGAAGAGGTACCTTTCTCTCAGCCAGACCCTGGTGCAGGAGATCCAGCTGGGAGGATGGAGGAACACCAACAACATGACCAAATTTTCCTCTCGGAGGGGTGTTCCACGTCAGGAGTCGAAATCCAGGACAAGGGCAGGGATGAACTGGGAGCAGTGCCAGTATACAGATGTCATTTCACCTCCAAGGAGCACGGAGATCTCGCAGCAGTAAGGTGAGGCTCTCCTGCAGAAGCATATCTGGGTGTTTCTTTCAAAGGGATGCCAGCCTTGATCGTTGTCCAGGCGGATTACAAATGTTTGCTGGACTCAGAACAATGGAAAAACAATACCAGTCCGGTCTGGTTTGTCCATGGCAATGCCTGACGAGCGAATTGGGTGACTTTTTCAAAGGCTGCTCTGTGCTCCGGGTGCCCGTGTCAAGGTGCCATCGGGTTGACCTTTAAATCAATAGCTGGCGTGTCCCAGTGAATGTCGCAGTGGATGTATCGCCCGCAAAGTATTTTGATCCGGGCTGACTATCTGTACGGCTTCGATTACGCCGCGCTGCCAGCGCTGTCCGCCTCTTTTTGAAGCGTTGCTTCCCGACATCCCCCCCCCCCCCCCCGTGGGCTCCCCGCTCCTGAGCTGTGGCAGAAACGTTTCTCTGTGTCTAGATGCTTCCATCAGTTCCATGGGCTAATCTCACACTGATTCTGTGTTAAGCTGCTGTTACTATAAAATAAGGTTAACCCCCTTATTGCCAGTGTAATAGCCACGCTCCCTGAAGCAGCACTACGTTACACAGAGAATTGAATCTATCTCACATAAAATGGCACTAGGCAACTTCTGTGTCATCTATAAGACACTGCATTTTTGATTGTTCCTTAATAAAAACTGAATCAAATTCCGTACTACAAGGGGGAAGTAATTTACCAAGTCATTCATTGCAGTGATGCCTTAATATCACCTTAAAGGTCAATTGTATGATTTGCTTAATATACCAAAGTAAATAAGACACTGTAATATGCTGGGTAGACTCATATTGCGTCCCCTGTGTGTTTGATAAGAGTGTCTGTTCTTGACGACGAGGCTACCGTTTATTTATGTCACCCCGTCCTGGGTTTAATATAGTGGCCTTCTAATTGAGGCTTTTCTCTTTATCTTTAGTGGTGTACAGGAGGTGCAGTGTAATGCCAAGGCAAGCAGTGCTTTTAACTCCGCAAAGCAGCTGGATGAGGAGAGAAACATTGCCTTCCTGCTAAAAGAGCTGGACACTCTGAGGGATCTCAATAAGCAGGTAAATATCAGTTCGGCACGGCGCCCTGGCTGAGCCACTGGGCTTCTGGTTGTGCTTTTGAAATCTAGGCTCTTTTACGTATTTGACCGCGACGTTCACCCTAAAAATCCCAGGTCGGTGACCACACATACTTATTCAGGTCTGACTTGCACAAAAAAGACAAAATTAACCAGAATTGTTACCTCTGATAATAGGCAGCCAGTTGTCATGGTTTACGCGTTTAACTTGACATCTGACCTCATTGTGGGATTAGACTGGAAAGGCCGTCCCTTTACTCATCAATGAATTGAGCATCTTAATATATTTTTTAAACGGCTGGATATGATGGAAATGGAGAAGGGCTTTACCAAAATCCATCGATCTATCCATCCATCCATCCATTCATCCATCCATTCAAAAAAAACGCAAATTTAGTTTTATTTAAAATAAATGCAAGAGCTGTTTTCCCATATAATATTTTTTATCATCAAATTATTAAAGAAAGAACAAATTTAAATCTGCTGTAGCACCTCTTTCCTGAATTAACATATTATAACAGAAAACAACAAACACACTTGTATCATCTCTTTCCATACTTGTTGTTTTTCCACTCTCTTTCCTCTAGGGGGCACTGTGGATGTCCTGCTCCCTTTGGTGACATTCATGCGTATCTCATTTGGAGATGGGTTTTATTTTTAAGAGTCAGAGCTCTCTCTCTTCCTTATTTCCCTTGTTGTCTGACTTAGCTGTGAGTCACTCAGCCTGTTATGCACAAGGCACTGGATGGGTTTCCGCAGTACGCCATCGCTGCCTCAAAATGGCATGCCACTAAACTGTGCACACTAAGTACGCACCCTATATTAAGGAAAAGCCTCCACTCAACAATCGAGTATAACATGCCTCACTTCACCCCGTTTGTTAGCCAGCTGACCAGAAGAAATAGGTCCCTCCATAACCTGTCATTTAAAATTACAATTTATTTTTGTATTGTTAGAGAACACAATAAATTAGAATAAAAGTATAAAATGACAGATTTTTGAAAAATCTGATGATAATTTTCTGATTCTTTGTGTAAGTTTATGATCAAACAGTATCTACAGTGTACAGGACCTGCGCTCTCGCGTTTTGGGGACGTGTCAGCGTCTGGCTTTGAACCTCGTAGCTCCTGCAGTGGGAGAGCAGCTTCGTCCCAAGCAGACCACCAAAATGATTGTAGCTGCCCTGGGTTTGCGAGTAGCTGTTACTCCTCACAGAGACACAGGAACAAGAGCCTGTTTTTGCTGGAAGGGCTGTGAAAGCAGCCCCAAGGACTTCACTGTAGCATGTTTTGAAAGCATGGGGAGTGGGGTGGGGGTGGGGGTGGGGGGAAGGAACTTGGAGCAAAATGCATCAGACAGAAGGTTAAATCTATCATTGTAAAATATCACTTTCGGAAAGATTTACTGGGGAGTGCTGTTGCTTCTTCTTCTTTTTTTTTATAAGCCATGTGATTATGTGGCGGAGGGGCCATGCTGAGTTTTATGGTACTGCGAAAGTGGCGAATAATCTTCCGCACTGTCTACATCGCTAGAAGGATTTCCCAGGATTGTACTGCTGTCGCAAACTTTGTCATGGAAGCGTGCTGCTATTCTGTTAGTTATTGGAAACCAGTGTGGGAACAGGCCCCGGTGTCAGAGCTCGCCCTCTGCCGCGCCTCGCCCGACGATGCTCAGCGCTGACGCGCCGCACGGCATCCCCCCCCCCCAGCTCCGGGACGAGCTGGCTGTGAAGGAGAGGGCGCTGGAGAGCAGGATGGCGGATGCTGAGCTGAGGGAAAGCCAACTGGAAGCCCGGGCCTGCGAGAAAGCTGGAGGTACGGGGAAGGGTGGGGGGGCGGGGGCGTGTCCCGGGGTGTGCGGAAGGAGGGAGAGGAGGGGGACGAGGAGGGGGACGTGGAGGTGCCAGGGGATAGGGGAGCCGAGCGGGCCTGGGGGAGGAAGGGAGGCGGGAATGTCAGGAAGAGGAAGGTGTGGAGCTGGGATCATGGTGGGGGGGGGGGGGCCCGGGGGGGACAACGGGGGCACCGGGCCCCTGGGGGGGGGGGGGTGCCGGGGGGCGCGCCAGCGCGGAGCATCGTGGGGCGGGGGGGGGCAGGGGGGGGGGGCAGCCAGGGGGGCCCGGCGTCACCATTTCATGATGCGGCTTCACACGCTCCTGGTGTTTGCCCAGGGAGGAGATCCGCGGTGGGCCGCCATTATTTATTTATTTTGTCAGCGAGCGGGTGGAAGGCTGCCCGCTTTAAGATCCTGCTCCTCCAGGTCCCGCGAGCATCCTACCTGCATCCATGTGACGGCTGGGGGTGGGGCGGGACGGGCTGTTAGTGCCACGCCAAAGCAGTAACAAAAGAGGCTGTTTGTTCTCCCTGCTGCTGTTCAAACAAGGGGAGGAGCTGCATGCTTCAGCCGTGCGGCCCGCGGACGCGGCCGCGGCTCACATTGCCGGCGGCGGCCGCCGATCTCTTCCCTTTTGTACCACACAGATATTGACACATGCATTAGGCTTGCAGGACGTGACACACCACATACAGGATCTCCACCTTCCCCCGTGAAATCCGAGATGTCCTGCCCAGTCGCCGAAAACCACGGCATTATGAAAGGCCTTTATATTTTAATTAACATGCAGCCTTAAAGCCACGTTTAGCCATTGCGTTTTCTCTTGGATGTCAGTGTTGATCGAATTAAGTTGCTTCTACACAATAAAAGGAAGCTGTGGTTATTAAATGTCAGTTTTATCGTATGTCTTTTACTATGAAATTCCTTGATATTATTCTGCTTTGGCAAATGTGTACACAAAGCCATCTTTTGATGAATCTTTTACACTAATTGTTTTTTATCACAATAATCATCTTAGTCATTTTGTTTTAAGATTTTAAGATGGCTGTCTAGAGTAAGTCCTACCTTTTCAAACAGATTGCTTTATTTTAAACAACTCTGTGTTACAGTAATCAATGTGCATTACCAGTTGTTCCACAATGAATTGCAGGTTATGTGATAAGCTTGTTTAAGAAGGAAGATATCCAAAGAATATGGTAAACATGCATTGATTTGTTTTACCTACAACATGGGTATTTTACAGAATTAGCTTACACAGTAACAAATCATATTTATTAATGTAATTTAACTGCTCAAAATCATTGCTGAACCAATATTGAAATTTTGTACAAGACAAAATTTATTTCTAATTACTTTTTTAGGTAAATCTCTCCCCCTCCTAATAATTAAAAGAAAACACATGATATATACAGAGTGCAATTAGCAAGAAAATTGTACGTTTAATAAAACCAAGGCGCATATATTTGCTGTCCTCATTTTAATATGATTTGCATGGGTTTGGGGGATGTTTAATGAGCAAATTCCAGCTAAAATGCAATATTGATTTTCTTAGTGAACTTTGTAATAGCTTACGGCTCAGCTCAGTGTTTATCATTAAGCTGTCTCCCAGAAAAGAGAGCTGTTACGTTCTGATGGTTCTCCATGCCACTGCCAGGCAGATCAGCAGGTACACCCAAAGTGGTTAGGTAATCTCAGAGCCCCCTCCTGCTGAGTGAACATGGCTGACGAGAACTCCAAAGGCTTCCTAGCGTCTTAGATCTTACGTTGCTATTTAACGCTAAGCGTTGAAGAGAAGCCTTTATCACAGAAATACTTGAAAGCTTCGAGAGCATTCAAGAAACCTGGGCTTTATATATGTTAGATCTTGCAGTATCACAATTTAATGTTAAGTACTGAAGAGGAGCCAGTGTCATGGAAATACTTGAAGAGCAACCAGAAACCAGGGCTTGGTAGCTACCTAACTCTGAATGCTCCATGTCATAGATCTTGGCACCTCACTGTGAAGCACTAACAGTGGAAGAGGAGAGCTCAGTCATGGACATTCTTGAATGCTGCCCTTGAGACCAAAGCGAGCTCAGTCTTGACGGCCAGCTTTGAAGAGTTTACCACGTCTTAGATGTTGGTGCATCATTGTTAAGCTCCAAGTCCAGGTTGTTCATATCATGGTCCTCCAGGTCCAAGCACTGCTGATTTTCCAGCCTTCCTTTACCTGGGAGCCAAGTGTGAAGCCTGTGGCCAATCAAAATCAGTAATTATTAAACTAACTACCTGGGAGAACTGAAAGTAAGGCCTGGATTTGGAATCAAGGTCCTGATTTGAAGAGCCCTGCTCTAAGTGTTGAAGAAGGAACTTTGGTCACGGTGTATTTCATTCTACCTTCCTAAATTTTCTACCTGTCATCCTTTCTCAGAACAGATACTTCACACTGATTTAAGATGAGCCTCTCCATGCTTTCAGCGATAATTTTATGATATGAAACATTAGCCGTGACTTTTGTTTGAGACCTACCTCGCCACGTTTGTTGTCCCCAGACGGAAGGTTAGTCTTTAGATAAACCTTTGACTTGACCCTTGCACTGGAGGAAATATGCTATGGCGTCTTGTTTATTTACTTTTGTCACCCAAAATAATGTCTGGGATAATTAATCATGATTTACGGTTTTGACTAGCATTGCCTCGTAGGCCAATGAGCAAAAAACATTGTAGCAACATTTATACAACGCTTGCGCTGGTACTATTTTCACAGCCTCATAAATCAGACGTTGGAAGACGCAAAGTAATTTTCTCTTGGATCGGTTCAAATGATGGCCATTTATTTACCTTCCATGCTTTATTGCCGAGTGCACACAGATGTGTCCGACCACAGTGGACAGCCGCAGCCATGAAATGAGTTTCACTTAAGTTAATACTCGCACCTCCGTGTTTCCGTAGCAATAACCGTGTGCGCGGAGAGCTTACTGCCGTTATTGTATTGCAGTGACTGTGGTGTCTGTGGTCCAGTATTAATAACAGCAGACCGCCTCTTCCTCTCACCCCCCCCCCCCATCCCCCCCAGCTCTGGTGGAGGAGATCTACAAGGCGCAGAGGGAGCGAGACCAAGCCTTGATGGCCAGGCTGCGGCTGGCCAACGAGGAGCGGGATGAGGCTCTGCTCCGAGCCAAGAGGCTGCAACAGGCAGCCACGGGGTACGTCCTGCATTGTGCTGGCCCATTGATTTCCCTCCCCCCCCCACCCCTGGCTCCCTGTTTGTTTAACACAAGAAGAAGAAGTCTGAGAAAAGGAGGCGGGGGTGGGTGGCACCCCCAAAGGATTCCTTTAGCTCTCCCTCTTGCAGGATCTTCCCTAAACTCTATGTTAATTTCCAAAGTTCTTTCGTGACCCCCCCCCCCAACATTGGCTGCAGCCGCAACGATTTGCCAAAGCTTGTTTGCCTCCCATCGCTTAGGAAACTGCATTGTTCTTCAGCTTGGCGGACAAGGTGAATGAATGGAGTTTGGGCAGGAACGTGGGGTTGGGGGTGGTGGGGGGGCAGCTAGGGTGTGGAGGCTCCAATATCGACTGGTTTGGGAATAAATCAGAAGTGCGTGACATTTCATAAAAGAATCCCCTCACCCTTAGCGCTGGCTTGTCAGTCAGGAGTTGCACTGTATAGGAAATCAATCAAGTCCTTTAGTCCACCAGTTATTTACCACCCTGTCTGAACTACCCTAATTAATGTGATTCCCCCCCATCCCCTTTTAGGGGTTGGGTGAGTGTGTTGTGAAGTGTTTTTAAGTACTAGGGCATTTTAAAATGAAGGCTGTGTTTTCTGCGCTGAAAAAGTAGGACGCAATATTTGCCAGTGCAGTTTAGAAGTAATTACGTTTTTACTTAAGGGAGTATAACTTTCTGTCAGAAGCAAATCTATATTTCAATAAGCCCCTGTTTGCTGAAAGTAACACCATTCCATTAAAACTTGAATTTCTGGGAAACTCCAGTGTTTTCCACCATTATTTCTTTAAATTATAATGTAAAAATTTGTTTTCACATTAAAAATAATGACTTTTTTTTTTTGTTTTTTTAGTTTTAAATATGGCTGTGGTGTCTCCTACAATAAAACGGTCAGTTCTGCCGCCATTGTGGAAGGGCAGACTCATTCCAGTCTGCTCGCATAACTGGCGAAATCTAATTTGAGAAAAAAAAAGTCTCCCTCATTTTCCTATTCTGCTCACTGCCTGCTTTGGGCCTAAAATGGTAATTGATAGCCATGCAAAAGCATTATCTCCCACGGAATATGGAATAGCATGTTCTGAACCTCTTATTTTCTGAGGTCACTTCTTCAGCCCTCTATGATTGAGTATGTGCGTCTGTAATGGGGGGTGATCCCTGTAAATGCCTCTGTAAATGTGACCGGCAGTTGTTTTTTCCTTTTTTCCATCCTTCTGCGGAATGGATGATCGAGCCGGACGTGCTGATGCACTTATAGGAGTGTGACGGGCTGACTTTCTGAGGGGGAGAGCGGACAGAGGGAATTCTCTAGAATAAAACAAAGGGAATGCTTGGAGTCGGATGGGCAGCTGTCTTGGTTTTGTGAGGAGGAGGGATGCTTCGCTCCTCCAGTTTGACGGTTTCAGCACCCAGCAGGCAGGGAGCAAATTCCTCTTAAGTCCGGTGCTGTTTCGTGAGGAAGGGGAGAGGCACACGGCAGGCTTTATGTTAAAAGCCACACCGCTGCTCGCCGTCGAGCTGGAGCCTTATAACACAGGTGTCCCTGCTGCCCATCCTAGGAGCCTGAAAAAGATCGACGGGGCTAAGGGGCAGGCAAAGTCCTGCTGTTTTTATTAATCTCTCCGGGAGCAAGTCAATAAAAAAAAACGCAATCAGAAAATAACCCCATGTGAGCATTCGGCAGGCATGCAGGTGACGTCTGTGCCCACTTATTATGTAGCAGCTCCCTCATTCTGAGGCGTGACAGATGCTCTAAGCACCGTCTTACCAGTCAAAGCTGTGCCATATTGTTCCTCTGAGTTTAAAAAAGGAACCAAAAGAAACTGGATAAGAAACATACATGCCAGCATGTGCAGTTTGAACAGCTCTCTGCAAACGCTTTTCATTTCAGGTTCACTTATGGCCCATAATCTTCTTGACTTTGATTTTATCTTATTTCTTTGTTTACTGTTTTGTATATTTATATATACTAACATATTTTAGACTGTTAGCTATCTTTTGTTTATTAGTGCTGTAATGTGGTGGGATTCTGTCCTCCTGACTTCCATTAAAGAAATGAACATAGCCTGTACTCTCAGGGTCTCATCGAGACTGTAATCGATGACCATTCCAGTGTATGAATTCAACCTGCAGTATACATGTGATGTTGCACAACTGCTTCTTGTGCAGGTTCTGCCACCAGCATCCTGGTTAGTTCCTTGTTGCTGATATGAGAAATATTTAGCCTGCTTTCCGGCACGCCTTTGTTGTGGTAATTGCAACCACGGCGCCCTCCATTTTCCCGTGGAGGCACCTATTGCTGGAAGCGAGCGGGTCGCTCAGCCGGGGACCGTTCTCTTTCATCCCTGCACATATGAACAATTGATCCCTGTAGTCACTTATAGCAGTAAACATTAATAACTTAACAGTCCACCCTCGGTGCCGAATATACAGAGCATTATTGAGGAATAATGGTTTGGTCTGGTGGCACTTTTAATATGTCAGGATGTCACGATTGACTTTGGGGACGGGCTGGATAGCAATTACTCGAGGTGGGGAAGATTTGGGGAGCGACCTCATTTTGCCACAGAGAGGAAGCAGAATGACGGAGGCTGTTTCCTTCCCGTCTTTCCCCAGCCTGGAGAACATCAACCCCGAGGAAAGCGACACGGTGAGCCTTTTACCTTTCGAGACGCCTGGCCCCCTCTCGGCCACCTGCTTCAGCCAGCTGTCTAAGCCTGGCGTGGTTTGTGGAAAAAAGCAATGTAAATTCAGCACTCCACTCTTATGCTCTGATTACATTTTTTTTTCTAAAATTAAAAGATCACTGGGATTTAAAAAAATATTTCAGACTTATTGATGTAGGTATGCCATGCATGGAATATTCTGAATCAGCAGATGACTAGTAAGACTATTATTTGTGGTACTATAAAATCTGTTTTATGTATGTTTCATTGATAATTGCTGAACTATAACTTTATAAGTTTATACTGTAACTAGCCAGTTACTATCACTGCTATTACACCTGCATTGACTGTCGGATACACCTCTGTTAATAATCATCAAATCAGATATGCATTTATCAGTTCTATATATAATGGATGGCATTATGTTAATGAGTCGCACACAGCCTGGCTGACATGTTCATTTGTTTGTGTTTGGTGGTCCAGGATCTGGAGGAGCTGCTCAATCGGATCAATAGTGCCGATTCTGCCCTGGGCATCGAACGCACTGGGGCGGTCATAGTGGACAGGCTGAGGAAGATGCGAGACCGCAAGAGGAGGATCACGGCTGAGGAGATGAACGCGGTCATTGAGGAGCGAGATGCTGCCCTGGCCAGGGTGGGTGTGAGGGACACGGCAGCCCGCTAGTGCGCAGTGCGGGGCGGCTCCACTGCGTCGCCCACTTTACGGCGCTGCTTTTAGGGTGGGTGTGAGGGACACAGCAGGCCACTAGTGAGCAGAGCAGAGCACTTTACTGCGCTGCTTTCAGACTGCAAGCATTCAAGCCTAAATGCAGACAGGAGCGAGCACTCCATGTGGAGAGGCAAGAACCTTTGTACAGCTAGAACTGAATACATATCCTTAAATATTGACCGGTGTGTTTCCCTCCCCATAAGATGTCTTTCGTTTATCAGTCTATTAAGCCACATTTGTCTATGTGTTTAGCCTTAAATCATTTATTAGATTACTGAGCAAATAGGCCAACTACTGACTTTTCATGTGGAAACAAATACTACCGCATAACCTCAAATATTTGATATATCTTCCACGCATGCATATTTTCATTCGAATAAAAACAAACAAGGAGTCGGCCAAATATTGACACCCAGATATTGTACTTCATCACCAAGTTCAAAACGGGGCCCTATTTGCCTAGATATCTTTGTTGGTAAACAGCCCTCAATTGCTTTATGGCTGTCGGATCCACTTTTACAACTATTTTTATTTGAAGCAGATCTAGATTCCCTCAACTGAATCCGTCAAAGTTTCATACTGGTGCCCGATTCATATAAATCTGGTGCAGCCCTGTCTTTCTGAGCTTTTTATTCCTTTCTTGCTCCAGTTCTAATATAACTTGTTGGTCACTGATCAAACATCCTACCCTACTCTTTCACCTTTTTTTCTTACGCCCTGTCTTGAATGAATTGTAACAGTTTTTGTAGATTTTTAACATCTGTGTTTTACATCCATCATTTATGACTGTCTGTCACAATGTTGAGACATCACTTCACCTAATTGCATGTTTTTTGATTATGGGAGGAAACCCGTACAAATGGGGGCGGGGATGCAACCTTCACATCCACAAGCGGAGAGCGGGATTTGAACCCACAACCCTGGAGGTAAAAGGGGATTCAAACCCACAACCCTGGATTAAAAATTGGGATTCGAACCCATAAACCTGGGGGTCTGCAACAACACAGTACTTTCCACTGACATATTGTGCAAAATTTATATACTATAATAATTAACAGGTGGATTCTGTCAGAACACTGGTGGTCATGCCATCCTCCCCCCTCGGCTATCAAAAATTGTGTGTTTTTGTGTAATTGTGTGTTTACTGTTTACCTCCCAGCCCACTGACAACAAGATGAAAACAACAGTTAGTGCTGAATGGTGCAGGTTCTAGACATTTAAGACAATACAAGTAAACTGAAAAATTTACAACTGATATTGCATTCATCAAATTAGGGGTACACTATCTGATAGAATACCCCACTTCCCCCACCTCCAGTAGGGCAATTTGAGGTCAGCCCTGCTCCGCCCCCTTCCCAGTCTCGTGTTTCCTTCGTAGCTCACACACTCGAATCAGGATTCTGATTAATTGACCCACACGGTGACATGATGTCATTGATGTGACATGCAAATGAACAATAGAAAACCGATCTCGCAAATGTCACATCTAGAGCTGCACCAACTGTACTGGCCGATTATCGGTATCGGCCGATACAGCTACAGTCAGCCATCAGCTGATGATTTAAAATGATCCGATATTTACTGTTGCTAATTCCATTTAAAATGGTGTCCCATACTGCTTTGCACACCCGCATACTAAACAGTTAGAAATATGTCTGCCGTGTGGAATTATTTTAATGTTAGCGAAAATGACATTAGAAATGCATTTTGCAAACATTGCTCTGCCAAAATTTTACGAGGAGAATCTACTAATAAACATTTTAACACAATAAATTTGATTGCACCTTAAGGTGAGACTGAACAGTATGAAGAGTTTATGAAAAACAAATCTGTTGCTATAAAGAAGGCTGCAGTACTGCTGAGTAACGCTAGTCCCTCAGTAATGCAAGCGTTTGATAGCAAAAGAAAATTCAGTGCAGACAGAGCAAAATACAAAGGTATTACTCAGAAAATTCTGGAGATTCTGTTATAAATGGCATAAATATATAAGATGTAGACAATTATAAAATATAGTGCTCCGGGACTGTTTTTGTGTATCAGAATTGATGTTTTCTTACCGAAAAATAAATACTTTTTTATATTTTTGGAATGTAATGCATTTTTGTGTTAATTTATTTAGGTGGAGTGTCTATTTAAACTTATTTAAGTAGAACCTCCTGATTGGTATCAGTATCGGTGTCAGTTTGTGAATTAATCGGCTATCAATATCAGCCAAAAATGTCCGTAATAGGTAATGGTGCATCACTCAAGCTGCCTTTGGCAAGATGCCGCCCCGGGTGGCTGCCCAAGTCCCCCATACCTAAATCCGTCCTTATCGGGCTCTAATTGACCACTCTGGTTGTGCAGTCAGCCCATTATGTAAAAACATGGCTGTTCCGGTGTCCTCTTAATGTTAGAAACACTAACCTTTCTGTATTTGTATGGAATGGGAGGCTTTGTCCGTTCTCTCTGTTACTCCCGGATGCTGTGGTCCTCTGATGGAAACTTTAGCACCATACAGAAGAGAACACTGAGAAATATATTGAAAGGATGTGTTGCCAGTTTGCATGTGCTCTGCGCAGCCTGCTGTGGTTATTGAGCTAACAGATACTACCCTTCTGATCTGGGTGGGGAAAGTAAGTTTGCTGATGAAAGAGAAGGTTTTCCTGCAAACAGAATTCAGTATTTTCTTCTGTATCGCCCCCAGAGATTGACACAGGCGCTTAATCCGTCTCCTCTGAAGTGCAAACAATAACCCAATAAAATGTGCAATCTAGTCCGAAAAGAAGTGATGTAATTGTTTAATAAGCAATTAACAGTGCAGAGTTTTAAGGCTGTACTGCTCAATCACTCGTGGCAGGCAGCAGTATCAGTAAAGCGGCTCTTTTGTAAAGCAAACACGATGTGTAGGACACACGACCAAAGGTGCACTTCAACTCAGTCTTCCGGGTCGGTGGCCGTGGACCCAGGTAAAACCGCCTTTGTTAGCATCCAGTACTACTGCAGCTGGATTTGCTGAAATATTTATATTGGATATTTCTCCTGTTGCCTTCCCACTCGGTGGGAGGCCCCAGATCCTTTCAAATATCAGGTTGGGCCCAACTGGAATGAAACGGCAGGCATTAGCCACGGGGAGAAGAAAGTCACACAATGTGTCTGCTGAACAAATGGGCAAAGAAAGCTGGCTCCTTTGGAGGAAAGAGGAAGTCAGCCACGCGTTTGATGACAGCAGAGTGCTGTGGTGACAGACGGAGGGTCCGTCTAGGTGGAATCTCCCGCACTTGTTTGCTAGGCCTAGACCTACCATTGTCACACCTGTAAGCAATCATAGAAGCTGCCACTGCTTCTGGCTCCTGCTTTGGAAACCCGAGTTAACTCCTCACCTTTTAGCTCAGCCAGTTGTGATTCTTCCTCTGGGTCTGACCCCAGTTTCCTCAGCCTCCTCTCCAGTATAACGGGTCACTCTCTCCTCACTAAACAGGCTTTGTTCCAGCCCTGCTCTTCAGACTGGCTATTTCTGTAGCTCCGGCTTCAGCATCATCTAGAGCTTAGCAGCTCTTGCCTCCTTCTTTCCTGGTTTATTTTGTGCTGTTCCGAAGATGTACAGTTGGGCTAATTGGTGTCTCTTAATTGGTTTTATGTTTGCCTGCTGATTTTTCACATTCACTTATTTTTTTTCTCTCGACTTGGTCGAGGATCTGCTGGGAAGGGCGTGTGTGAGCGTGGTGCTTTCCGCCAAAGCTGGCATGAGTTGGAAGGTTGAGTATTGGGTATTGGAAGGGGCTCAACCTCAAGCCACCTAATAATAATATCAACCCCAGGCTGTCGAAAAATTCCCAGAATCGGTGGCCTACTTTTATATAGGGCAGAGACCCATCTTTGGGGCAATTTTAGAAGTATGTTGCAAGGCCTGACCTAATCCTTCTGAGGAAGGGATCCATCCATACTCTATCCTGAAGGATTTCTGCCTCCCCCGCCGCTTCCCGATTTCTTCGCTTCATCTCGAAGGGATTATCCTGCTGCCGTAGGCAGAGGGCCACCACATCCACTCGGCTGGTAGGAATATGAAAAAACCCGCGGCGCGCTGGGAGAAATAAGTCTTTTCTCACTTGGTTCCTCGCACTGTAATTAATTTGAGGTACAATATTTATTTCTGATTTCCGCTCTTGTCCGTCGTGCTGTGGTTGATAACCATACTCGCGCATTTCCTAGCAAGGTCTGCATTTTTTTTTTTTTGCCAGGAAAGCTTTTCAAAACAAATTTTCTAATTAAAAGGAGCCTTTAAGGTCAACGTGCACAATGGTCGTCAATTCGTCTAATTTTATCAGGCCTTCTTCAAAGCCTGGTGTTGATCCATATTTAACTTGAGGCTTTAAAGGCTGACTAGCGTTCCTCGCTTGTGGCTCATCTATTTCTGCCATTGCTGTTTTTGAGCCAGACCCACGAGTGTCCCGTGTGCGAATGAAGACGTTCGCTCCGATTTAAATGCATTTTCTCAAGTACTTCCAAACATCTGTTTCCTGAGAGCTGTAAGTCAGCCTGACACTAAAGAGGAGCTGTGTGTTTTGTCTGGATGGGCGCGCTATTATTTTAGTCTGCAGAGGAAGGGGGCGGCAGCGGGGTCCTGGGCAGAGGTGCTTGTTTGCCCGGGCACTTGGGGGCTGGGGCGGCTGGACGTCGAAAACATTGGGACTTGTCAGTGAGCAGAGATGGTTTACGTTCCTGGTGAGTGTCCTTTGGTCTCGGAATGCCTGTATGGGGAGAAGCACATGTGGGTTAGGATAAAACAGGGCGCTTACAATAACAGCCGTCATTGGCTGCTGTGATTCCAGACAGACCTGTGTCTGTGTCTCTGTGTGCGTGTGTGAGAGAGAGACCATGTGCAGACTGTTAAGGTGTGGTGTGTTCTCATAGCCAGCCACTGGAGCAGTTCCTGTCAGCTGTCTGTTTAGGATGAACACTGGGGAGACACCCCAGAGACTAAAGGCTATGTTAGACCACAGGAAGGGGTTTTGTAAGGATTATTTCAGGATTTTTAATGCATCAGACAAAAAGAAGTCTAATGGGGAATGTACGGGAGATTTTGCTTATACTCTCTGCGGTGTCTTTCATGAATCAAGGGAGCACTAATAATGTTTTTTGAAATATCAGATGCAAGCAGATTATCTTCTGGTGTCTTTTGATTGGCACCTGCCATGTGCTCATAATGCGGGTGAGAAGTGAAAGGCAATAATGAAGGCAGCTTATGAAGAGCACGCAGGATTCCCCTTGTAGCAACTGGTAGATTGTTATGCTGTGGTAGTGAACATCTTTACGTGATTCTGACAGTTTAAAAACAAAACAGTGACCAAATCTTCCATTTCTGTCCTCTCCTAAACTACTGGGGCATCAGAACAAACCCTTATTTTTTTAGATTCTGTGTCTAAAAACCCCCCGAGGCAGAAGCTACCGGGGCGCGGCGCTGCAGAACGTGCCGATACACCCGAGACTTCCTTCCCCTTCAGGGAAGAGCCTCGCTTTTGGCGCTAATGTATTCAAAGTGATTCCCGCTTCTCCCTCCTCGACAGTGCCAGCGGCTGGAGCGGGATCTTCATCAAGTGCGAGAGCAGAGCCGGGCTTCGGCAAACAGCGCCAGACACCTGACTGCCGAAAACAATCAGGAGCGTGCCTGGAAGGTAAATGTGCCCTCACCGAGAGCCCCCGCAAATTAAGGTTACGAACTGCGGGTTACCGTCTCCGGCGCTCGCCAATATATCAGCTGTGTATATCGTAGCCGTCCTAGCAGTGGGGGCCTGTTTGCCAACAATGCTGTCTTTAAACATGGCCTCTTCTGCCTGGGCTCTTATTTAGATATGAAAAACAGTCCTCACACACCGCCCCAAGAAGGGTGGGAGAAAGAATGAGGAAAAAAAGAAAAGAAGAAAGAAAAAATCTCCAGTGTCTGCAACAGAGGAATTAATTTGTTGTGCATTTCCTTCGTGCTTGGCTCAGTTTATGTAACGTCCTAATAAGGTGCATGTCACAGACTTGTCATGTTTGCTCAATTGTGGCCAGTGCTTGCTCTGGCCCTTGTTACGACGATTTTGAGCAATAAAACTGTTGACCGAGGGTATTGGTGGCCGCATATTTGAGAGGATTTGAAATTAGATCGACAAGAGCATGCCGTAATGCCTCACAACCCCTCCAGCAAGGTGCAGGGTAAACACGGGCCTGTTTGATTTCCACCCTTTATCTCGTGAACCCCAGGCCCTTTCGCTTAATGTGGAGTGCCATAAACCTGATCATTAGACCATCCAGGGTAAACGGCCTTTCGCAGAGATGAGTTTCGAGAAGTGAGGCAGGTTAAGCGAAAGGGGGGTGGGGGTCACTGTCCCGGCCTAATTAAGTTGAGTGCCAGCCAATCAGATATAGATCTGGAGACATGGCAGTGAAGCTTTCATCTTGGAAACTAGTAGTCTGAATGCTGGCTATTTTTGATTAGGTCACTGGTTGTGCGTTTGTGTTGCTCAGCTACTGGCTAATATCTGTGATTTGCTCTTACATAATCTTTCAATTAGACTGTGTTGATAGCTTCCATCCCAAGCGTTTATGGTTATGTGTCATATCTATAACACCACCCATCACAGGAAAAACACATCTGGTCCTGTTCAGATGTGAACTGTCTCGCAAAGGATATCTGTTACATATTTAGTTCATTATTATTTTTTAATTTTTAACCAATGTATTCTCTGCCTAACCATCTACTCCTGGATTACAAATCACGGATTTAGTATAATTTGATAGCGCAAGCTGTATCAAGATATGGCATAAGAAATGCTTCATTTGCACATCTGACCATGAGAGCACAATGAGCTAGTCTGTGCTGGGAGAATTCTGCTCATAAAATGCTTGAATGTTGTTGAGAGAGAGCAGAAGAGCTCTGCACGCAGTCCGGCCTGACGCTGGACAGTCCAAAGGCTAGCAGAATTAGCGCTTTTCTTTATTTCTTAGCAGGCTTCAGTGTGGCTTAATATAAAACATATTAAATTTTGTTATTAATGTAGCACTTGGTTTTTCCATAAATCCCCTTAATTATAGATTGACTCCTGGGATTACAGAGCTGGGTTTTTAATTTAAAACGAAATAGGAACAGCTGTCGTAAAATTAGTCGACAGTGCCGGGAACAGATCCTCAAAACAATTTGAAAATGAACCGCGGCTCCGTTCGTCAATGGAGCTTTTTTATTTTAAAGGAACCAAATAAGAGCAGCAGAGAAGTTTGTTCTTAAGGGGGATTAAAGACTGAGGGAATCCGCAGGTCCGCATGAGAAACAGCCCCGGCCGTAAAGCCAGGTTCCTCTTTTATATTTTTGTACTGTATATATTTCATTCTTTATAGGTTAAATCATTTCATTTGCCCAGATCCTTTCTTGATCCTTGAGATTTTATAACTATATTTAATTCCCCTTTAAGTGTTTGCCACCTGCACTAGCGTGGCTTTATTCGGGGCTAAATGCTGAGCATCGGCCTATTTGCAGACGCTTCCGCACACTGTGACGCCATTGGGGTACCGTTCAAAGGCCAGGGATGAGTATGGGGCCCCAAAAAGTCAAAACCAGCCAATACAACCCCCTGGACCCCCTTAAATTGGTGGAGACCTCAACCCCCGCAATGCTCAACCCGGAGATATGCCCTTGCATATGGGTGAAGGTTCAAGTCCCAGAGGCCATAAGTGGAAATTAGCGGGAGAACATTTTCAAACAAATTTGAGGAAGCACTTCTTTACACAGCGTGTAGTTAGAGTATGGAATAGTCTTCCTGCTAGTGTAGCGGAAGCTAAAACCCTGGGTTACTTTAAATCAGAGCTAGATAAAGATTTTAACAACTCTGAGCTATTAGTTAAGTTCTCCCCAAATGAGCTTGATGGGCCGAATGGCCTCCTCTCGTTTGTAAATTTCTTGTGTTCTTATGACCTGGTATCATACACTGAAAGGCGGCACGCAGCCTGTGAGCTGGTGAGAATTTTCCAGTGAGCCAAATGCTACGTTCAGGCTGTCGCTAAAAGCTGTCAAGCTCACTATGGGAAAGAGTCTGCTAAGTAACTAAATTACACTTATTGCAGTGAAACAGTTTAGTTCGGTTGGTCTGCATCAAAAGCATGACAGTTGTGGTGTGTTCTCTCGGGTGATCTCTCTCTCTTTAAATTTATGTGTGGGCGCCTTGACTTTTGTTTTTTAGACAAATGGGGGAAAAGGTGGGCACCATCTTTGTTTCTTTTGCCGGTGATCTGGCTTGATTTGTTTGGAGCTGTTCCTCTTTGGTGACCATTTTGAATGAGCGCTTTGTAAACAGATACTCAAGACGCCAGTCTCTTTCTGCCGGGTGCAAAATACGTGGCTGTGTGAATGTGAACGGACTGGGGGTGGGGGTCGGGTGGAGGGAGGGGGGGCGCGGGCGCGGGCTGGAGGGCAAGGGTGAGGAGTCATCATTGTTGAGGTCTTCTGAAGTGGCCTGTTGTAATACTGAGCCCAGACCTCAACCACCTGTGTTTGCTCTCCAGCTTTCCTCCTAGGGATTGACAGCCACCCACCCCCTACCCCCCACCCCCTACCCCTCCCCACTAGGATCCCTGTAATGTACTTAATCGTTACGTCAACCAGCTCGGCCACTGCACTGCTCCCTCATTACCATTCGTAAGGACTGAAGGGTAGCTTAATATCGGTTTAGTTTGCTGTAACTGTGTATGTTGATAATAACTTGATTTGATTATTTTTGGTTGGCATGAGGGAAATATAATATCGAATAGTATATATATGATATTACACATAATATAAATGTACACTTTATATTTTTGTATTTTTATTTCCATCAACATTTCAGTTCTTCGCATTTTGAAATGTCAGATTTCCTATCCGTGTTACAGTTAAATATGCTTAGTCAGACCGGTGAAAATGATTCCATGCCCAGTATTACAGCTGGAATGCTCCTTAAGAGGCTTGCATTGTACAGTCTTGCGGAGTCGCATCCGATGACATTTACGTCTGAGGTACACAGTAAATAATATACACTGATGGAGAGACGCCTGAAAGTGGATGTAGTAGGACATTAGCGTGTGTATGGCTTAGTGTAACAGGTACAAGAGAACGGGCAGCACTGCCAGCCGTATAATGACCTGCTGCCCATATCTGACTTGTAATCAGGCATTTCAGGTCCAGAAGCTCCACATCCAGACCAAGATTTTGATTCTACCAACCAGTTGAGCTTAAAGTAGTCAACTGGTTAGTAGAAACAAAATCTTGGTCTGGATTTGTGTCTTCTGGACCTGAAATGGCCAACACTGCATGTAATACAGTACACATACAGTAATGTATATGTGACAGACAGCTACTACATTGACTTGCGTCTTTTGGTCCTGGACCGAGATGCAAGTACAAGCCGAGGCACGGCTGTAGGTAGGAGCGCTGAGTGCGCGGGGTTCCTCCCCGAGGTCTGCGCACCATTCACAGAGAGCTCCACAGTGACAGTCATGCGTGGGCACTGATATGGCCCCAGGAAATGCCCTGCTGGCCCCCCCAGACTGTCCCTGTGCCAACAGAAGGTCTACATGAGGTGTTTTCTGACACCTTCCCCCCGGTGGCTCTGTGGAACGTGTGAAGTGAGCGTGCTCCCTGCAAACAGCCTGGGAGCCCGGGCTCTCGCACGCGCGCACACTCGTACACTCGCGTGCACACACGCACACGCAGGCAGCCACACTAGGTGAACCTAGCCTGCACCTGTCACACCTTCATGGGCACGGATAACCTCTCCTCTGAAGGTTGCTAGCTGCAGCTATTATCCTCACTGCTCACGTGGGTCTTTCGGCCTTGTTCTCTGCCCTGTTAAACATTAACGGCGGGACTTTTCCGGTTGCCGCAGTAACTCAGCCGAGCGCAGTGTTGCCAGGTGAGGCTGTGGCCGTCTGACCTCTGCTGCGAGAGCCTACACTGAACCGTTTGAGCGAGGCTGCATGCGTGAAAAGTAAAGCTCGCTGTGCTGGATGTCTTTTGGGGTACCTGTACAAAATGCATCATGGGAGCTCAGCATCTGTTCAGCACTCGAAGTGTACAGTTTGCATGACGGGTCATCAAATCATGGTGATTAAACTATTTTTCTGTAATATTACACTGTTAAACTGAAGTTTTGTATGATAGAACTCATCATAGCCAAGTTATAAGCCTGATAATTCAGTGTTTTTAAACGAATGTCAAAAGGCCTTTTTATGTAAACTGTCAGTTGCTAGCCATGGTACATATCAAATAGATTAAAAGGATGACGGGATGGTTAATTTACTGTCTGTAATTGTATCAGTGGTACAGGACTTAAACAAAATCACTGCCAGGTCAATCTTCCCCCCGTGGGCAGCTTCAGGAACCACAGAGCCCACCACTCTTCTGCTCTTTGGGCCTCCCCTGCCTCCAGAAACATAAAATGCTTCTAAAAAGGTCAACACCAATTCTGTTTTTGTAGGAGTGGCTAATCAGAAGGGGTTAACATTTTCCACTTTGCCGAGTTAATTTTGTTAATATTATGATGAATGCTGATAAATGTCTGTGATTAAAAGAGACTGGCTTTGAAGTTCACTCCACCTCCCTGTTGGAGAAAAGTACATATTGATTTAAGAGGTTAACCTCTTTTTGAAGTTCTCATTGGCTTAGGAGTGCGCTCACCGGTGGTTCTAATGATTCTGAGACACAAGGGCACGCGGCATGTTATTTTGAAGGCAAAGGTTGCACATGGAGAGTCGATGGGCAGGGGAGGGTTTTTGGTTTACGGCTCAGCCCCAGTCAGTCAGGTATTAATGTGACCAGGTGGGGTGGGGCACCCATTATGGCCTGGAGTTTTGACTTGGAGGGGGAGTCTGTGTGATCTGTCAAAGCTTCTAGTGGGCGGCAAGCAAAGCAGTGGCAGTATGCGTATCCCGTACTGTCGCCACTCGGACCTAAGCTGGCCATTACTGATTTAATTTATGCTTTCTGCGGGTTTGCAGGTGCTGCGTCCTTACAAATAAATTCATTTTCAATATTTGTAACAATGCTAATCTATTTTTATGTTACTTCCTGAGGCTGGTAATTTCCAGTCTGTATTTTGTCATCCGGGCAGATTTATAATTTCCATAAAATTTCGATAAAGATCTTATCCCAACATTACCCCTGTCCTGCCCCGATCGTCCGCTCCTTCCGTGTGTCACGCCCCCTCGTTAACCTCGTGTGGGATCGCCATGTGATCAGCTGTTTCTGGTTGTTGTCATTAGTCCTCTGTATTAAGTCCGCGATTCAGTTTGTTTCCCCAGACCGGTCATTGGGTGCGTTCGACTTGATTACAGCGCTGGCTTAAAGCAACGCATTCTGATCCTGACGCAATGCATTACGGTTAGATGCATTGCGACCTCTCACCCGGCTGCACAAACTGGAACCGCCTCCGTGACGACACACCTTTGCCCTTATTGGCTGAAGAGTTTAGTTACATGCATGACGTTTGTATCCCAGGCAGTTCCGATGCGTAATCTGCTATTTCTCCCGAATATCACGTAAAGCAGTGAGAACTGGTTTACAGTTAATTTACCTGGTAAAATAAAGTTTAAATAAATGACATAAATGCTCTAATAGTACACGTAACTTAGTGGTTTATTCATAGTTATTGTAATGTTGCGCTGCTTTATCGTCCAGTCTGTGAAGAAGGCATTCTAGTAAGAATTGCATTGTAGTATGACTCATTTCCTGGCGCGTACAATTTATATTAGGTGAGCGTTCACAGTTCGACTTCTGATATTCAGATCGAGTTCTAGGTCAAACTGGTTTGTTCGACTTTCAAGAAATTAGAGTTCTAGTGAGTTTGAGAACCGAGGTACCACTGTATAAGAATGTTAACAGAGGCAAACAGGAATGCATGCTAGGGGTGTTGATAATGAAATCACAAAAACAGTGACGCTTTGCCGCACTGATATATTCACCTCTCCATAAACTTCCAAGACAAACCGAAACCAAAATGTCTCCTGATGAGATCAAGTTGTGGGTGGAAATTCCCTTTTTCAACTAATACCTCCCAAACACTCAGTTATTCCCATTCTACTGCATGGAAATAAATGTCTAATTGCTTCAGGAAGTGCTACATAGATGGTGGTACATAGATTTAATTTTGTTCTGTTTAAATACTCCAGTAACTGAAATGTTCTAGTTGTGGTCCCAGATGAATGTCAGTGGTGTCTTTATATGATTTTCTTATTTCCTGCTTCTTTCTATAGATTTTTGGTGTATTCGAGTGTTCAGCAGCTTGAAGTTTTAACCTTTTAGGCTGAAAACACAAGCATAAGGTGTTTAAACGTCACAGAGAGAATGTTACTCAGCCACATTGCTTCCCAGTCTGCCCCATACGTCACTGTAAATCTCACTGTGACATACTTGCTACACGTACCAAATGTAGGGTTTGAAACACATATTGGAGTAGACAGACTGGGATTATTGGATGTGTTGCACCTCTAGAACGCAGAGCCTGCTGCCATTTTGGCCTGTTGATGTAGAGAGGCTGCCTGCACAAGCGGCTCCGACCGCGTGCTGCCGTGCTGCTGCAGGGGAGTGCCATCCTTGCTTGGGCCAGTTGGTGTCTTGAGGACAGACATCAGCGCTTCAGTTTCTTGGCAAATCTGCTCATGGCAGGCAGTGTTATTCGATGGTGTGGGGTGTATCCACTGGGCGCTGCGTGAGCGCCTCCTAGGGGTCTCTAAGCTACCTGCAGGAAGCTGATTGGCAGCAGCAGGGGACAGGCTGCACGTTCCAGTTGGCACTGCACTGCACTGCGCCCAGCCATGTGTAAAGACGGGAATTGACTTGGCGGGGCAGGAAATAGGAGCAGTGTGTGTCCGCTGTCCGCAGGACGCTGCGGCAGACGTGAGGGGCGGCCCAGACGTACCACATTGATACGGGATGGTAAGCAGCTGGAACTGCAGAATAAAGTAGATGTTTACCGAGGCAGAAATTCTCTGTGTTTCCACCAGTGCAGTAGAGTCCAGTTATGATGAATATCAAAATATAGGCACGGAATCATCTTTTTTTTTCCCTGCCTTATAATTTTTATGTCATCTAAATAAATTTTATTTTATATAACATAAATACAGATTTGATTTTATGTAACGTTGATGCAATAATTATAATTGGGGGGAAAAGCAGAAGTTCCAAAGTACAAACTTGTTTTATAGGGAAACTGCTACGGAAAAAAGGAAAGAAGAAGACACTAATAAAAAGTCGGGTAAATAAGTGACAGGTGACGGTTGGCTACGTCACGTCAGCGTTCACAACAAGAGGAATGAAAGTTCTCAGTCTGAAATGGAGTTTAAGGTTCTTTTGTAGATACGCCTGTCTCGCATGGGAGATAAGAAACCAGGTGGATGGAGCGAAAGAGGGATTGCCCTGCCAGCAGTGGCACACACGCCAAACCCCCCCCCCCCCCCCAGCACCCCCCTGGGGACACGTGACGACATCTCGTCAATCTACCGCCTGACACTTCGGCAAGACTCCCCGGCCCAGTTCCGGTGCCGACCCTAATAGGCGACCTCTCAAGCAATCGATAGAGTCTGGCTCCTTTTCACACCCCCCCCAGCCCCCACCCCACGCAGACCCTATATTGCCCGCAATAGCAATATAGCTAGGCGGCTTGTTGATTTAGGCAGCCGCTGTTGTCTCCCTCTCCACCAGCTGTTGAAGAGCAGGGACGGTCAACACATCTGTTTCAACGGCTTGTAATTAGCTGGAGCTTAATTGCAGCGCAGGTTTAAGCACTGGGCCGCTGTGAGGCCAGGGCTATTGTTTACCCAGAATCCCCTGCACTCTCTGTGACCGCTCGCTCTGGGGCTGGTAGGTGCTGAGTGGGCAGACAATGCACTGAAGGGATCCCCCTCACAATGAAAACGCCATGTCTGTCCTCTTTGTTTGTCCGTCGCTTAACAGGCTAAATAAAAATGCAGCGAGAAGCGTCCGCTCCACACCGAGACTGGCCTTTTGAAAGCCCCCCCCCTGCCAGACATGTTGAAATGTACACCTCTGCAATCAGCAACTTTGATGTTGCATTTAAAATGAAGTGACATTATAAAACCTGTCTGGATTAATGGATAAATGAGTAATTCAGGTTATAACATATACAAGTTACTGGAATTTACATTTTGCTGAATTTTGAGATGCAGTCACTATGAGGGTGATACTGCCATCTTCGGTAGGCATTTCTGGATGGATTGATGGATGGATGGACAGACGGATGGACTGATGGACCAACGGTTCGTTGGTTGAAAAGAAAGAGTGAAAGAGAGAGAAAGGAAGAAACTTTATTGATCCCAAAGGAAATTTAACGAAGGTGTCTCTCTATTTCTCTGTCTCTATTCCTGGAGGTATTTTGGTACTGAGTCCAAACAATATTAAAGCAAAGAAATAAGCCCTTCTATCCGTCCATCTTCTGGAACCTCTTTTCTGACACACGATTGCTGTGAGCCACAAGCCGGGAGACATATGTGGGGACACAGTCCCTAAAACAATTACAAATTACAATTACATACAACTCCTTTCAAAAATACATTGTAGTTGTGTAGTTTGTCATGTTTGCTGTTTGACAGACTGATTTATATATGATTATGTCCTTTATTTTCATTCTGTGATGCTATTTCCTAATGAACCCAAACGAGAGAGAGAGTAGAGGAACAGACTGCATGTCAAGCACATGCGTTGCATGTCTCACCCTCTGTGAGAATATCTGCTCCGCGTGAAGACGCAGAGCCTAATGTTCTAAATATCACAGTGGACTCCTGTGCGACACATGTGTTGCCTTTGTGTGTCTTTTTAACAGGAGGCGCTGGACGTGGTCCGGATGGAGCGAGATCGGGCTGTCGAGCAGAGCCGGCGACTGGAGCAGGAGATGCAGACCCTGCGTACCTCTTGTAGGTGAGTCACATCCACATCTCTGCCAGCTCTGCTGATATGTCCATAAACCTTCTTCCGGCCAGACATGACCTGGCTGCACAGCATGATGAGCGATTAGTCAAATGCCAGCTCTCCTTAAGTCTGCCTGAATTCCTGCCCAGCCACTGGTTTGTCTTTTAGCATTTCTTAAGCCTCCAAGTGATATTTTACATTTGCGTAATTATTTCCTCACTTAGAGTATTAGTTAGATTATGAAGAATAAACTCACATAATCAGTATTTTCTTTTTCTTTTTTGAATGAGAATTGCCTTTTCTTAAATGTACCTTCAACAGCTACCTTCAAATTATGTGACCATTTTTTAGACAGACCATTTATGGTCACCTTAAAAATAATAATCTAATATTCCAAAGCTCAACCTTCTAAAAAATAAAAACAGTTATTAACATACACTGTGAATCCATAGTTAAAATTTAACACTACATGAGTACCTGAGCAGCATCTGAGAGCCTATAATTATTGTTCTGTTTCCATGGCCACAGATCATTTACATAGAAATGTTAGAGGTCACTGTTCGACACATATTCTATAGTATTTCTCTCATTGCAATACATTTCCTTGCAGCTTGACCCAGCGTTACACTCTCCGTTATTCAAAAATGGAGATAAGGGTCCTTATCCCACAGCGAAATATGCGTTAAAATAAAAGCAGGCCTCCTGGCCTGGAGCAGGGCACCTCCCTCCTTAATGACATTCTAAATGTAAATGTAATGTAAGTTCTGTAAGGGTGGAGTAGGTCTCGAAGGAGGCAGCACATTGTTTGTTAATGAGCCCCCGCTGTTTTGCTGTCATGTCCAGCTGCAAGATCACCCCTGTCCTGTTGGTGGTCCCCTTGCACCCCCTCGGCTCTGCTGTTTAGTGTAAAAATTCTGACCGTCTTTGAGGATCTTTCTACATATTTTAGCGGCTTCTTGAGTCTTTCTGTGGACATTTTGTCTGCTGTCGTTTTCAATTGTTGTTGATTTTGTAAATGAGTCAACTATTTAAATTCTTTCTGACATGTTTAGTCAAATTACTTATGTGTTAATTAATTCTTACTGTATCGTAGTGTTTTTTTTAATGTTGTGCTGGACATAACTTTTGTAATTAAATAGATATTTTTCTAACTAAAAGATGGAGGTAAAAACTGAGGCCCTGAGACTTTTTGTGTGTGCAGAGAGCGGCCATAAATGTACCATTGTAAGGGACTTATTAGATTAGAGATCTGAAGATTGCCCACTAAACTGGCAACACCGGTTTGGTTACTTGCATCCTGTTTGTAACATTAGCCGTATCCTTGTGAACGGTGATTGGGAATGCATGCGGACAACGTGACACGGAGCGCAGGGTGAGCTCTGGCCTGTAGGAGGTGCTGTCTCAGCTGGTCTGCCAGCGAAGGCCTGCTCTGTATTCGCACACAGCTCGCACCATGTAGGCTGTATCAGTAGGGTTAGGGAGTAGGACCTTTGTAGGGAAATTGACCAGGCCTGACAGCAAAGCTGGCTCTGTATGTTTGCTCATAAGATTCCGCCTCCACAGCAACCCCCACTACCAACCATTGTCTCTTAGCTGCAGTATCCCAGATACTGTCTCAACGTGCTTAATGGGATGAGGCTGACATGCAAAATGGGGCAGTGCACCACCTGTCTGTGTCTATGGAGCAGCGCCTGGTCGCCTGTCTGTGTCTATGGAGCAGCGCCTGGCCGCCTGTCTGTGTCTATGGAGCAGCGCCTGGCCGCCTGTCTGTGTCTATGGAGCAGCGCCTGG